TCAATGTCGAGTGATGGAGAAGCTTATATGTTATGCCAGGAAGCTTGGATTTGTTCTCATGTAGGAGAGGGATGTGAAGTAGCAGGGGAAGTTCTGAGTAAGACTTGGAGATGTTAGCAAAAGCAGGTGTGCAAGGAATATGGACTGGAAAAGTTCAGAGAGAGCATGTCGGTTGATTTCAGTAGCCAAGACAAGAAATAATCAGATCCTGAATTAAAGACAGCAGTAGTAGGAGGAATGTTGTTGAGTTATGTAAGAGTATTACACAAGTGGCCACATAAATTATTGTCTGAACTGGGATTTATTTGAGAATAAAAGAAGGACTTTGTAAATATTATTCCCCACCAACAGACTGTAACTCTCCCAGGAAAGCCAGGATGTATGGCCACTTTGATATTAAGATCTGGCTGAAGGGAAAAAGAGAAATGGATCTAAATGGAGTGTTTACCTTCTAGCTTGAATGACTAACAGTACTTCAATTAACAAAGACTGTGAGCAGTAGAATTATGATATGTTTCCTGGGATATGTCTCCATGCTATGGAGAATTTAGTTTTGGTGTGTTGAATTTGAGATAACTGCATGATAGCCAGAAAATGTTATAAGCAGTCAGAAATACATACTTTGTAGCTCAGGAGGTAGCTGTGTGATAGTATTGTGGATTTGACTGGAGCTATGGTCAATCCACTGACTATACTGTAAGGGGATCTGCAAATGTTAGTTGATTTCCATTGGATCACACACCCACTTACTATTAGGAGCTGAGAACAGCTCATGCTCTAAGTAGAGTTTCGTATTTTTCCAAAAAGTCCTTTTTCTTAAATTTTATCTATTCCAATTTCCCTTGCTATTTTAAATTTGAAAGCCAGATGAACATATAAATTGTAGCAGGGCTCATGATGTTGAACACATGATAGAAGGAGGTGGCAGAAAGCTTTGGGAAGTCCAAAGAACAGTGAAGAGGAAAGTATGTTTCAAACTTATTCCACATTTTTCTTCCTTCCAGAAATCGTCTATGTACTCACCACATGATCTACAGAATCCCAAACCAAAGTTTCCCCAGACATTCATAAAACATGTTCTTATTCGTAATTATCACACATGTAGGAAAGGAGACCTTTGAATTGGACTCACAGTATTACTAGCTTTGGAGTGCTGTATGTAATGTGAATATCAGCACAGTTTCTGTCATGGGAAAGGAGATGTTGGCTGTATTTTCTGGACTCCTTTACTTTGTAAAATGAGAAATTTTCTGCTCTCTATGCGACTCAGTGGACCCATCTAAAGTCTACTTGACTCAAGTAGCTGAATAGTTTTGAATTATAATTTATGTCTAATTGTGGACACACTGAGTTCAAAACCTAAAAGGATTGAATATTTTTAGCAAATAAGGAAAGAAAAAAAATCTTGTTCAGGGTCATGTGCAGTGGCTTACGCTTCTAATCCCTGCACTTTGGGAGACTGAGGTGGGTGGATCACGAGGTCAGGAGTTCGAGACCAATCTGGTCAACATGATGAAACCCCAAATCTACTAAAAATACAAAAATTAGCCGAGTGTGGAGGTGAGCACGTGTAATCCCACTTACTCAGAAGGTGGAGGCAGGAGAATTGCTTAAACCCGGGGAACAGAGGTTTCAGTGAGCCAAGACTGTACCACTTCTCTGCAGTCTGGGCAACACAGTAAGACTCTATCTCAGAAAGAAAAAAAGAAAAAAAGAATCTTGTTCATTAATCAAAACTCAATTATAAACAGAAATGGGTTCTTATGTCACATTTTATAAAAATGATGCTGTGCAAAATATTGTTTTTGGACTTAGAGTCAGGAACCTAAAAGCAAAAATCTTTTATTTTCCTCAAAATTTCCCAGAGACAGTTCAGTTATTAGGATGTAGCATGTAGTTTCATAGATAAATGAAGTAAACATCAAATATTACCTTTCTCTACTTAATACTATAGTAGCTGGGTTATAATAGTGAATGTTCTGGGAGAAAATAAATATTTTCAACATTGTATTATTTAGAATACACATTATTTTTAAAAATTTCACTTAGCTAATTTTGTTAGTAATTGTATTACTTCATTGATATTAGTTCATTTTTACTGTGTAATAATAGGATAAACAATTGTTTTAGGCTTTCTGACTTTCTTTTCCCTTTTTTTTTTTAACATAGAGAATTAGCTTAGACATTGATTTCAATTCTTTTCTCATGTTTTTCCCATCAGCCCTGCTGCTTTCTAGCAAGACACCCTACCTGTCATCCAATGAATACCAGACAGAGAGATTCCATCTGTACCTTTTTTTCCTCTCTTAAAATAAATTTTTAAAAACACACACAAAAATGCAAGGTCATACTATGTTGTCCAGGCTGGTCATAAACTGCTGAGTTTAAGCAATCCTACCATCTCAGTTTCTTGAGTAGCTAGGTTCTGGCATGAGTCACTGTGCCCAGTAATCCATCTACACATTTTATACGTATACATCAAGAATTGATAAATACAAAACAGAAATGGATAAGTGTAACTTAGTCAAATATAAAAGAAATATAAATATAAAACAAATATAGAAGAAACAGAGCTACACACCTCTTATCACAGGACGTGTCATCTTTTGACATTATCGTAAAGTTATATTCTTAGCCTATAGCCTATATTGTAAAGTTATATTCTTAGCTCTATAGACATAGAATTAGTTTATATGTAAGTTTTTCTGTTAAAAAATATTTTTAGCAAGGTAATTTTTCCCTTTTTGGAGTGGTGTTACTGTTTTCTGCCATAATGTTATAATAAAATATAAATATAAATAAAAGAAAGAGGTTAAATGGTAAGGAGTCAGGGGCTAAGACGTATTGTTTTAAGCAACTACACTCATGGTAATTTGTCACAGCAGCTGTAGAAAACCAGTACATGAACTGATTTAAGTTACACCAAACCTATTGCATTGGTTGAATTAGTATCCTTATTTTCAGATAAAAGGAATGAGGCTCACTGAGGCTGCTGGAGTTGCTTGCTGAAGCCCACCTTCCTCAAAGGTCACCTGTGGGGCTGAAAAGAACTATTTGCTGAGCAGATGTAATATTCCTGGTAGAAATTCAAATCCTGAAAAATTATCCTTCTAGGGGCTTAGAACTTGTTTGTATTTATTTTTAAAACTTTAGATCCAATTATTATAATTTTTTATGCTATAATGGAGCATCTGCTAATTCACCTACTGTGCTGATGTCTGCAACATGAAAGCAATCTTGAAGTATCTGTGAAACAGAATCCTTAATAGCTAACCTTGGCTTCCAGTATAGTCCCACATAAAGTGCATATTTATTCTAAAGTAAAGTAATTCAGACTTCCAAAGAGACATGAGTGCCTTGGTTTGGGTTTGCGCTGGGCTTACGTTGTCCTGATTGCTTGTCTCCTGTTCACTGTTTTTGCCAACTGGCTGCAGAGCTGGGTCCACCCCATCTCCTGTCAGCATCTGGATGAAGCACCAGTGCTCTGGAGGCCACTCTCTGTCTCCTGTGAACATTCAATGCTGTGTAACCTGTAGCCACTTCCACTCCTCACTCAAGTGAATCACTTAAGTCTCAGTTTTCATTCCTGCAATGAATATATAGTTGATCTCTTGTGCCCACTTTCTCCAGTCACCTAACCCTCATTTTCCTTCTTGCTTTGCTGCATGCCGTGTTCTTTCTAAGGCAGTAGCAAAGTCTGAGAACTTTTTGCATCATTTATTGTCCAGGATGTGAACATCACCAGCCACTTTTCTTGGAAGATGGCCAAGGCCAATCTCTACCCGTCCATGACTGGGTTTCAAGTGACTTGGGCTGAGGTCACTACCGAAAGCAGACAGAACAGTCTACCCAACAGCATTATTTCACAGTCCCAGATCCTGCTTTCTGTATCCTACCTCTTGTACTATGTCCATGTCATTGGGATCTACTGCTCCTTTTTAATGACTTTCAGAGATAGCAACCTCTGTCATTCTGTGTGTGTACTGTTGAGTCTTATTTCTGCATTCTCATCTTCTGAGTGTATCTTTTGCAAGCATTAACACATCACAAATGTGACTGCATAGCTAAGAAGTAGCATAAGTTGCCATCTAGATAAAGTTTGATGGCTATAGTCAACTCATGAGAAGACCTTATCTTATCTTGTATGCAAGTGATTGAGCCATTTTCTTCTATCTTTGTTAACCTCATGTCTCTCTGGTCCAAGTGGACATGCCCTGTTTGAAGTGTTGAATTGGGGTGAAATGGCCAAAAGAAGCTTGTTGTTTTTCTTTCTTCCTCCCACCTTTTAATTTGGCTTCAGCCTGTAATGAGTTGGCCTGTCTTCCTGGTCACTTAGTTCCTTGACTTAAAAGAAAAAAAAAAAATCATGTGTGGGATTTTACCCTTTCTGAAAATGACCTTAGAATAGCCAAATGCCACTACAAAATCCAAAATGGGAGAAAGAAAACACAACTTAAATATCAGAAGGAAAATTCCACGGAATTAGGGAGTAGTTATTCTATAAATGTGCTAGGTTTTATTGAGTTTTGAGAAGAATTTGTTGGCATAAAAATAAACATTTTCAGTTATGGGTATTGACAGATACTGTGTTTTAAGAAAAACAGTTGGCTCATTCACTGAAATTTGGATTATCAAGAATTCATATCAGAAGATGTGCAACTGAAGACTTTAAACCATGGGAAAGTCTTATATTAAGAAATTAAAAAATAAATAAATAAAATCCCAGGGGTGAGCCCTGAGAACTGGCACCTCAGCATATTTTAACTCTGCCAAGTGTCTTAGGCTGCCAAGAATTGAGTGAGGTGCTAAGAAACCGTATGGCAGAGAACCCCCACAAATGAGAAATAGTCTATAAATTAAACTGTGCCTTTACAAAGCAACCAAACTTGGCTGTGTATGATATTCTCCAAAGGGGGAAAAACTGTTCTAGGCTTTCTTTGCATTGCATGTTGTCTCTGAAAGGTTGTCAGTGAGCATACTCTTTTATGTTGTCCCCTTAGGATCACTATGTCCTAACAGTGCCCAATCTGGGACTGTCTACTCTTTACCGACTGGAAGTGCAAGTGCTGACCCCAGGAGGGGAGGGGCTGGCCACCATCAAGACGTTCCGAACACTGGAGCTTATAATTTATGCTTATAATTTGAAGAAAACAAAAGCTATCACAATGGGAGAGTTTGATAACTTCTAAAATTTTTGTTGGATAAATGCTTTTCTGATATTCCTTCATGGAAATTCCATTTAACAAAAGTTTTTGGTAATTTTTAAGACTCTTTGAGCAAATACAAAAGGATTATGGTTTGATTAAATAATGGTGAGCTTAAAAAAAGAAGTTTGTCTTTTTTTGTTATTGTTTTATGGTTAGGGGAAAGCATCAAGGAGGAAGAGTAAAACAGGAAAAGGAGAGAGTGTTTGTACATTCAGATTCAGAATAGGAAAGACATGATCATAGGAAGGAACATCTGCCTGGGTCTTATGTTTTCCAACAAAGAAAGGTAATTCTGTCATTTATCTGATATGTTTAAAGGGATGTGACTGAAATATTTTGTCACTTCTTAGGATCCCATCTTAAGCATCATCATCCTCATCATTACAAGCCTTCTCCAGAAAAATACTAAACTGTTCAAAAAGATTTTTTGAAATTACATAGATGTGTAAGCTTATTGAACTTCGGCCATGAGACATGCACACTTCCAGAGGCAGTGGGAACTGCTCAGAGGTTCGTACTCTCCTATGTGACTTTAGTGCAGGAAGAACTTCTGTCAATCACGGATGCATCTGGAGACAAATGTGAAACAGTAGATTGGTGAAGACAGACACCAATTCCTTACAAGCTTGGAGAAAATGAAGAATAGGCCTGTTTAACACTAAATCTTGTTTTCTTGTATAGTGTCACTCATTTCTGTTGAATTACAGCATAATTCAGTTTTACCTGAATTTCTAGCACCAAACTTCCTTGCAAACAGTAGAGTAACAAATACACAATTCACACATAACACTAACGAAGCATAAATCTAATCAATAAAATATATTTTTGACTAAATTATTGATTTGATATGAAAAATCAACTAAGATTATATAGCATTGTTTATTTGAATTTTTCATAAGATCATTTTTATCGTGGGTTAATAAGTTTAACCGTTTTATCCAGGGTAACTGAAAATGTGTAATTTAAAACATACCAGCTAATTTAAATAATTATTGCATAAATTTAACTTTATAAAATTTAATTATGTTTCTTCTGTCTGGATAATAGACATTAGACAGGTATTTCTAGTTAGGATGGTAATTATGAAACTTACATCTCCCTTAAAAAATTCTAAAACAGCTCTTTTGGGCTTCTAATTTCAATATAGTATTTAATAATTTAAATTTTATTGGTGTTTTTAGAAGAAAAATGCTATTAATGGGTAATCGAAATGTTTCTCTTATGAATTTTAATAAGCTCCATTATTATTCAAATGATCAAAAATATAGTTATCTTTTTTGAATTTGAAAAATGTGATTGCTCTAATAAAGGATAAAAATCTGTTTTTTGACAAACATAATTTTGAGGCCTAGTTCTGTAATATGTATTATTGAAATTAGATACGTTTCTGTAATGTGAGAAAAATACATCCTTTAATTGTATTGACTACTAAAAAAATTGAGCTCATCAAAAATGTTGTCATCAAATACAGGTAACTTGATATACACTGCAGTTACATACATTATTTTTATTTACAACCTTTGCTCCTTTGGATGAATTTATCTGTGTTACCCTGTTTTTCTACATGAAACTCCATAGAGTGATGTTTGTAAACAAACATGTACTCTTTTCAGTCTTTCACTCTTTTAACATGATATGGTAGAAAAGATAAAGTTTGTGGCAGGTAATTTTTTATAATGTTTATTAAATGAAGTTCAAAGATTAAAAATACATCTATCTCCTGAAAACCTTAGACTCTATACAGAGTTTCATCACAACTCCAGACTATTGACTTTTGGGGCTGGATAGTTCTGTGTTGTGAAGAGTTGTCCAGTGCATTGTAGGATTTTAGTAGCATCCGCAGTTTCTCCTCACCGGATGCCAGTTGCACCCTCCCCAGGGTTGAGACAACCAAAATGTCTCCAGATATTGTCAACTGCCTCCTGATGGGATGGTGACCCTGATAGAAAACCATTGCTAGAGAATGATCTTTACTGAATAGATAAGAATTTGCCCTTTGCAAGAAACCCAGTAAATTACTAGGGCAAGTCACCGAAAACTAAGAGACAGCTAAGAAGTTATCATGCTTGACTTCAAAGGCCTAAACTGTGTATTTTATGTCCACCAAACAACCTGATTAAAAGACAGAATTTTGACTTGTGTCCATATCATATAGATTCAAATACTAATTTTGCTCTATGTATCTGTAAATGTCATTTGTGATATTGACTTATTTATATAATGCTCTTGCTTATGTTGTGAGTTTTCAAGTTTACTCATTTTTTTTGTTGCAAATCACTCTTAAAACTTATAAGCTTTCACATTATAAGCAGAACACAAAGGCTATATATCTGCTGCATGTACTTCAAAGTTTATAAGATATAAACAGATCTGCAAAGATGTTGACTCTTTTCTATGGTTTTGCATGGTCAGACTCAGTGTCAGGTATGGAGAGGATTCTCAAGACTATCTTACCTCTATTGAATATTTTAGTGAGTTATATGATTTACACAGTGATTAACAGAGGTCTATATGAAATTATTTTACCCCTTTACTTAACTATATTGTAATGTGCAGATAATAAAATTTCTACCTTCTCATCTAAATGGTCTGTAGAATTCATGTCCCTTAGTCATTTAAAGTCAATATTTATTTATGTGTGCAATAAAAAAGTTTGATTTTTGTGTATATCTGTCATATTATTTAGAGAGAAGTGATTTTGTAAAAAATGTTTTGTAAAAAACAAAAAAAAGTATTGTAAATAGTGTTGATAATCTGTGACTCATTATTTTCATGTTAGAATTTGTACATACGGTTCAGTAATAAAGCATCTTTAAACCAGACCAACTCATTTCTTTCCTTCTTTCTTTTTTTTTGAGACGGAATCTCACTCTGTCTCCCAGGCTGAAGAGCAATGTCTTGGTCTCAGCTCACTGCAACATCCACCTCCTGGGTTCAAATGATTCTCCCACCTCAGCCTCCCAAGTAGCTGTAACTACAGGTGTGTGCCACCACACCAGGCTAATTTTTGTAGTTTTAAGAGAGATAGGGTTTCACTATGTTGATCTGGCTGGTCTCAAACTGCTGACATAGTGATCCACCTCCTTAGCCTCCCAAAGCACTGGGGATTATAGGCATGAGCCATTGTGCCTGATCTCTTTTTTAATTATTGTTACACTTTAAGTTCTGGGATACACATGCAGAACAAGTGGGTTTGTTACATAGGAATACATATACTATGGTGGTTTCCCCCACCCATCAACCTGTCATCTAGGTTTTAAGCCCTGCAAGCATTAGGTATATGTCCTAATAGGATATATACCACCCCCTGATAGGCCTCAGTGTGTGATATTCCCCTCCCTGTGTCCATGTGTTCTCATTCTTCAACTGCCATTTGTGAGTGAGAACATACGGTGTTCGGTTTTCTGTTCTTGTGTTAGTTTGCTGAGAATGATGGTTTCCAACTTCATCCATGTCCCTACAAAAGACATGAATTCATGCTTTTTATATGGCTACATAGTATTTCATGGTGTATATGTGCCACATTTTCTTTTTATTATTATTATTATACTTTAAGTTCTAGGGTACATGTGCATTACGTGCAGGTTTGTTACATATGTATACTTGTGCCATGTTGCTGTGCTGCACCCATCAACTTGTCAGCACCCATCAACTCGTCATTTACATCAGGTGTAAATCCCAATGCAATTCCTCCCCCCTCCCCTCCCCATGTGTGATGTTCCCCTTCTCGAGTCCAAGTGATCTCATTGTTCAGTTCCCACCTATGAGTGAGAACATGCGGTGTTTGGTTTTCTGTTCTTGTGATAGTTTGCTAAGAATGATGGTTTCCAGCTGCATCCATGTCCCTACAAAGAACACAAACATCCTTTTTTATGACTGCATAGTATTCCATGGTGTATATGGATGTGCCACATTTTCTTAATCCAGTCTATCACTGATGGGCATTTGGGTTGGTTCCACGTCTTTGCTATTGTAAAGAGTGCTGCAAGAAACATATATGTGTATGTGTCTTTATAGTAGAATGATTTATAGTCCTTTGGGTATATACTCAGTAATGGGATAGCGGGTTAAATGGTACATATTGGGGAAAATTCTTGCAATGTATCCATTTTTTTTTTAAAGAAACATTTTTGCTGGGCACAGTGGCATGCACATGTAGTCTCAGCTACTCAGGAGGCTGATTTTGAAGGATCACTTGATTCCTGAATATTTGAGGCCAGCCTGGGCAACATGGCAAGGCCCTGTCTCCAAATAAAAAAAGAAAGCAAGGAAGTTTCTTGGATTTAGGAGAAAAATGGACAGTTTCTGCTGCCAAGGAGACTCCATTTGCACAGCAGTGTGAATGGAATTTGAGGTCTGGTAAATGTTAACAAGACAGCACTTCATCCTAATGAAAGTATCTTGGAGTTTGACAATCAACCTTTCAGATTTCTATCATGTTAAAAGTTGTAACTCCTGATGGTTTTACTGGCATTTTAAATCAAGGAACTACAATTTTAAGTTGGTTTTTTTTGTTGTTATTGTTGTTGTTGTTGTTGTTTTACTCATATGTCTGTTTTTGTACTACATATGTACTACATACCATCTTGAAAGCCTTTAATTCTTAAAGAAGAGTTTTCAGAGGCTTCTACATCCCCACTTTGAAATGCATTTGACTCATAACTGCTGATGAATTGAAACAAAATGCGTAAGGAAAAAAAAGGATAATAAATAAAGTGATGTTATCCTGGGGAACGTGGATCTTTATTTTTTCTATAAAATCAGTGATTTATGTATTTATTCACCTATTCAGCAAAGATTTTCTTGTTCTCTCCTGTGTACCCAGTCTAGTTCAAGAGGTGGGACATTGTTTAAAAAAGACAAACTCCCGTTTTCATGGATTCTTCATTCTAACAGAAAAGGACAAGCTGGGTGCAGTAGCTCATGCCTGTAATTGCAGAAGTTTGGGAGGTTGAAGCAGGTAGATCACCTGAGGGCAGGAGTTTGAGACCAGCCTGGACAACATAGTGAAACCCTGTCTGTATTAAAAATACAAAAAAAAAAAAAAAAAAAAAAGAAGAAGAAGGAGAAAGAAAGAAAAGGACAGACCACAGACCACAAATAAGTAATGGTAATATATGTAAAAGGCCAGAGAGTATAGTGGCTATGGAGGAATGAAGGCACATCATTGTGTTACCCAGGACAGAAGGAAGTTCCTGGGTAACACAAGGGAACACTCAGGATTCCAATGAGGCTAGGGAACCCCTACACCAGAGATGGTGGAACACCGTGGGCCTGGGCCACAGAGAGACCCTGTGTCTGCAAAAAAAAAAAATTCATAGTACCAACTACTTGCATGGTTGAGGCAGGACAACTGCTTGAGCCCAGGAGGTCAGGGTTGCAGTGAGCTATGATCACATCTCAGTTCCAGTCTGGGTGACAGAATGAGAATGAGAACTTAGCCCCTGGAGTAGTTGGGACTACAGACGCCCATCACCATACCTGCCTAATTTTTGTATTTTTAGTAGAGTCAAGGTTTGACCATGTTTGTCAGTCTGGTCTTGAACTCCGGACCTCAAGCAATCCACTCACCTCAGCTTCCCAAAGTGCTGCAATTACAGGCATGAGCCACTGTGCCTGGCTGCCAATTTTTTTTAAAGGAGTCTCTCTCCCTCTTTCTCTCTTTTTTACTTTGTATTTTGAGAAAATTATAGATTAACACGCAATTATAGAAAAATAACAGAGATTATTAATTGTCCTGAATCACCCTTCAATGGTGACATCTTCAAAACAGGGAAGTACAGTATCACCACCAGGAAATTTACATTGATACAAACCATTTCCTTTATTCAGATCTTATAGATTTTACATGCACACAGTTATGTGCATGTGTGAGTGTTTGTGTGTATTTTGTTCTATGCAATTTTATACATAAATTGTTTGTAATTAGTTTATACAAATAAGTCATTGTGTTTTAAGCAAATGAACATTTAAGGGACACACAATGACTTAAATAAATTAGTTTTAATGAGGAAATCGCATATTTTTGCACATTTCCATAGGTCTAGGTACATTTAACATTGTGCTGCCTTTAATTTTAACACTTTAGGAATGATCAACTCAATATTCATGTAGTGCCAGCTTCAATTTCTGTTGATTAATTGTTTTCACAAAGTGGCTGAGCAGCTAATAAATCTGTCTAGAAGGAAGACTTGGAAGTCTTGTCCAAGGAAATTAAATGTATTGAGTATGAGTATAGAATTGAAAAACCATTTCACTGAGAAATTTTGGTGCACATTTACAGGCTAGATGTTGATTTAAGAAAATAAACAGAATAGTGTAATTCTTTATTGGTTACAAAATGAAAAATGGCCCAAAGCAGAAAGAAGAATTGACTTTCAGATTAAGTTAATACTTAAAGACTGAGTTTTGCATAACTGACTCTGATGATTAGCACAACTCTAACCCTGGGACAGAGGCTTTCAAAACTAGCTTGCCTATTAGAACTCCCAGAGGAACTTTTAAGAAGTCCAATGTCTACTGGCACCTAAAGATCAGGAGGGAAGAGTGGATATTAGTACTATTTTAAAGGGTCTCCAGGTGATTCTAATATGTGCCCAGTGCCGCAAACTGCTCTTCCAGGTCATGAGAGGCTACTGAATGATAAACATTAGAAACATTCCTTCTTGCAGAGCTGAAGAAGGAAAAATTCATATTGAAGCATCACAAGAGAACACTGTTTTTCTCCCCAAATTCCCTGGATGAAGTTATATAAAAAGATGTAAATGCAGATATGAGAATGCATGCTAATACATACACATGTAGATAAATACAGGTATAGATATCACAGGCATTTTCCTTTAAGCCTTTTTTTTTTTTTTTAACTTTTTTTTAGAGAAGGAGTTTTTTCACTTTTGTTGCCCAGGCTGTAGTGCAATGGCACAATCTTGGCTCACGGCAACATCCGCCGACCAGGTTCAAGTGATTCTCCTGCCTCAGCCTCCCGAGTAGCTGGGATTATAGGTGCAAGACACCATGCCCAGCTAATTTTCGTATTTTTAGTAGAGATGGGGTTTCACCATGTTGGCTAGGCTGATCTCGAACTCCTGACCTCAAGTGATTCATCCACCTCGGCCTCCCAAAGTGCTGGGATTATAGGTGCAAGCCACTGCACCTGGCCTCTATCTTCTTTTAAGTATAATTGGGAATTTATCTTCAGAAATGTTGATAAAATATAGGACTAGTCAAATGTAATTTGGGATGCTGTAGAGTATTATTGGTGGAAACAATTTCTCTTTTCTGAGTTTTGTGAAATAGCTTTTAAGGGGTAGCCGTTAGTGATTTAAGGGCAGTCACACAGACAGCCAATTAGCATGGATCAGTCATTATACGTACAGCACTAGGACTATCATGCAATCCAAAACTGATGCTAACTTGACTTTTTCATCCCCAATATCTCCTTCACCATCAAACAGCATCCAGTCAAATTCACTTGGCTTCATTATGTACATGGGGAAGCATCTTGCACTCCTTTGTAGAGTGGTCCACCTCAGTATGACACAGAATGGATTAAAAGGCCCTGCCTGTAGCTTGTTGTAGTTTACTTGAGAGACCACTAATAGGATTAACTTCCACAGCTAATATTTACTGAGGACTCACTAATTATAAATAACACTAAGTGTATTACTAGTATTCCTCTATTCATTTCTACAGCCACCCTATGGCTGGCCGTATTTTAAAGGTGAAGACAGTGAAGCAAAGATCATTTAAGTCAATAGCTCAAAGTCACATAGCTACTGATCGGCAGAGCCTTAATATAAACCTAGGCCATTGGGTTTATATT